AGTCTTGGAAACTCCCAGGGGCAGCAGTGCCTGCTGGTCTGACAGGGTCACTGGAAGTTGGAATCGACTTGACAACGGTGCAGTTTTGGGTTGGGATGATGTAACAGTACTTATTTTTATTCCCAAGGCGCAGAAGCCAGCCACATGGTGAGTGCGATCACTCTTGTGCCGTACAAATTGGATAGCAAGCTGGGACCCTGTATGAAAGATTGTCAAGGACCCACGCCTGTCTTCCTCTGGCTACACAAAGGAAGGAGAATCCAAGTCCACGGCAGCGCCAGGCCAGCTCCACAAGGTGGAGGGCAGGCAGGTTCCACCTCCGTCTTTCTTTACCCAAGTCGGACACCAATCATCCCTCCCGTGGTACTTCGCTTTTCTGTTGGGTTCAATCATTTGCTGCAACTGCCACACAGAAATCACAGACGATAGTCATGACTGTGGAATTTATTAGGGCAGCTGGGAAGTTTCAAAATGATAACGGTGCCATTCTTTTGTCAGCAATGCCTCTTCTCAACCATGTTGGCGAGGGTGGTTCTCTCCAGTCCTGGGTCTCTCAGCCACATGGTGCCTTGGGTTCTGCCCTGTTCTGTGGGCGGGGAAGTCCACGACTCTCTCTCACGATTTGGTGCTGTTCCCCTGCTCTGGCTCATGGTCTCCAGGTGTCAGTGCTGCAGTCTCTGGGGCCCCGCTGCTTCTGCCACTTCAGACAGGGCTCTTGCCCATGCCCCACTGGTAGCTCTTCTTTCTTGATGCTCATGGGATTCCCTCTCTTCTTGCTTTTGAGATGGCTCACTTATGTGCCCATTGGAATGGGAAAATTAACCAATGTCCTCTCTCGGTGTTTAACACACACTGTTTACATGGCCTCATCCGACCATTTGGTGGGAGCTACAAAGACAGGGATAGAAGAGCCGGGGTGGCTTCACTTCACCACAGACACGCACATGCACCGCGTACAGCCTACTTATCCACAATACAGAATCACCAACCCCAGATAATAAACTTTTTAGTATCAAGAATGTTAGGGGCATTCTGTAGCACTGATTAAATTCTTAGTCAAAAGTTATATTGCAACTGAGAACAACAAAAGCTGCAGAGGGTGTGGTGAGATTGAAACTCGCATCCACTGCAGGTGGGCTTCCAGTATGTACAGACGATATAGTGATGCCTGAAACAGATGACAATTGAAATACCATATGATCCAGCGGTACCATTGCTGGGCATAGACCCAAAGGAATTAAAAGGCAGGTTAATTAGCAGACACTTCTCCCCCATGTTTATTGCAGCACAGTTCACAATAGCAAGAAACAGGAAACAGCCTAAATTCCCAACAGTGTCTGATTGAATAAAGAAACGCTGGTACAGACACACAATGGAATACTACACATCCCTAAAAAACAGCCATGAAACCAGGAAACACTTCAACATGTGGAGGGATCTAGAAGATATTATGCTGAGTGAAGTTATTCAAGCACAAAGGACAAATACCATATGTATCCACTGCTGTAGGGACAAGCAACAAAAGGGGCACAAGCTCAGACTTGTACAGCATCCAGTCTGCTGGTCAGGGGGCCAGACAGCCTGGTAGAGAGACTGAGCGGTGCCAATGGACCATACACCATCTGCTCTGGGTAAGTATTTTGAGGTCATTAGGCCAGAGGGTGCCTCACATCATCTGAGATCAAATGGTCCGAGGGCGTGGCAGGGAAGATGCTGACATGTAAATTTGTGATGAGGTCCCGCCAGACAAGCAGACAGAGGCAGGAGGGATACACATGGGATGAACAGTGCAGGAGAGGGAAAGGAGCAAACACGTGGGGGAACACAAAGGCCTATCTGCTAGTTGAAAAAGAGGGAGGCCTGACTTCCAGGTGTGGGGAAGAAGGTCTGGAAATGCTTTGGGGGATCCAGAGGCAGGGGGGCCTTTGGTGATATGCACTGGATGGACCCATTGACCCGGGTGTCTTAATGTATCCCGGGACCCTGGTCTGGCGTCGGGGTGTGCTGGGACACTGAATCCTGGATCTTCAAGGTGCACAGCATTCTCCAGAGGCTGCACTTGGGAGCCCACTCGGGAACTCCACTGGGTGAAGTGGACTCTCCCTTAGATGTACCTAGAACTTGAGGGCTTAAGTCAGAAAATAGATGGTGTCTAAGGAAGCAGAAGAAAGTTGCACCATGATTGATGAGCTGTTAGTAGGCTGTCAAATGGGTTTTGCTACATCAATGTATTATTCTAGCAAACCTGTGACAGTCATTCTGTTTTATTTGTTTATATTAGGGTGTATCTCAGAGGTGCTATGTCATTGGGGGTTACCCTCTTGAAGTTGTGATATATGTTTTTCTGATTTTCAGTAAATGAAGGCCAGGATTCATGCACCTATGGGAATAGCAAGTAGAACAAAGATTTCAAGGGGGTGGGCTGTTTAGGAGGGGCGAGGGAGGTAAAAGAGAGATGATGTCAAGGAAACCAGGAAGAAACAGTATGTTTGGAAACTGATTTGGGAAGCGATGGTACAATTATGCCTGATGGGATTGAACGATGCAATGACATGACATGTATGTATGTTAATGCCCAAGTAATAATAAATAAAAACAACAACAATAACAAAATCATAGATCCAGGCATGGGTTTTGGGCTTACTAAATTCTAGCTCCAACTTAAGAACGATTTGTTCTTACATCATGACCCTGCTGGATACTCATCCTTAGGAAAGTAACATAGAGGAGACAGGTGCTATAGCAAAAGTGGTGAAGAAAATGCTTGCCTATTAGATAAAATAGCACCTGGATCTTAAAGCTTGTCTCCAAACACGCAGCCATCTAAATGAGATGTCCACTAAGTCCTCATGGAAGAAGCACGCCATCGTCAGTCACCGAGGTGAAGCAGATAATTGGAAGTCGAAGGCGGGATTAGTATCAGAGCCTAACGTGTGAGAATCTGGGTGGCAGAAGGCTGTCCCAAGTCCATTTGTGGAACCACATAGGAAATAAGCCACCTATGAATTCCTTCTCCCCACGGGTGAGGGGCTGGAGAGAAGGGGTTACTAAACAGTGCGTGAGTGAGTGGAGTATAGAGGATCAAAGGCATACATTTGACCTGAACAGTTAAAATGTTTTCAGTCCATCTCCCCTGTGATGCGTGCTGGACCTGATCTGGTTTCCAAAAGTGTCTGTAATTTTGGTTTGTGTGGTTTTGTTTGGTGTTTTTACATATTAGGGAGTAAATACCAATTCATAGAGACATACAGGACATGGTAGAACTGTTCCCCAACATTAGGGGGTTTGTACATATTAGGCGGGGCGGTGCATATGAGAGGAGTTAGGTCATTGGGGGGCACCTCTTGACGGTGTGTTATATGTTTTTCATTTATTGCTATATGAAATGCAGGATCGACGACCCTATAGAGACAGCAAGTAAAAGAAGGGGCTCCAGGGGAGGGGAGCACAGTGGTGGTGACACGGGGAGGGGGCGACCATGTCAAGGCGCCCATGTAGATAAGAAATGTGTGGAAACTCATTGTGGTAGCAAGTGTACAATTCTGCTGGACGTGATTGAACTATGGAATGATATGATGCAGGTATTAATTCCCAATTACGAATAACAAAAAAGAGTTTTATTGGTAAGTACTGAAAGAATATACCTTATGTAATACAAATCAAGATAAGAACAAAAGCTTCAAGAGCAGTCTTAATCACTGACAACCTAGGTCTATTCTAGTGGCAATGATTGCACACAAAAAAGTTTAAGTATGCAGTATAAAAATTGGCAAGCAAGTGATATTCATAGTCATTGTATAAAGACATTTGAATTGCTTTATTTTATATATTTAAATATATAAGAAATACAATAATAAAAAGCATCGTGTAGTATGAGTCTATCATCAGTTTAAAAACATATCCATTCGGGTATATGTAAGTAATTTATATGGAATTGGCAACCAGATCTAGCTGAGAGGGGTGATTTGCCTAAGATTATTATAGTACTTTGACCTCATGAATTTGCAGAAAGGTAAAATTAACTTTTTAAGTAAAGGGGAGTTGAGTTCAGAAATGTTAGCTTTTCATCAATTTTCAGTCAATAACATAAAAGACATGAATATTAGATAAAATTATTATGATTATTGTCCCAATTAAAATGTATGGAACATGTACTACATGCCAGAGAGCAGTCGAGGCATTTTAACTAACGTATTTCATTTCGTCCATAATTAATTCATTAGTATGTATGGAAATGTATTATCTTTAATTTTAGAGATGACCGAGTTCAATTTTAGATTCATAGTCAAAGAAAGTATGTGATTTACCCAATATCGTACCCAACATGCTGCCATTTGGTCAATGCCAATGTACGGAGACAAACAGGACACAGTAGAACTGTTCCATTACATTACTGAGCCTGTACATTTTTTCAACTTTTTATTGTGAGTTGGGTAAAGGTCGACAGAGTAGGCCGTCAGTTTTGCAGTTAACCATTTATTCACATTGTATTTCAACTCAGCCATCAGAATGCCTTCAACGTACCTCCACATTTCCTGCTTCCTCCCTGTTTCCCTTCTTCCTGAATTTGTCATTCCCAGCATAGTAAACCACATGATCGTCTAGTTCAACGTGGCCAATGCCAATCCATTTCAACTCACCGCTTCCTAGAATACTTATCTTTATGAATTCCATTTCATTTCTGACAGCTTCAAAATTTCCTAGATTCATACTTTGTACATTCCATGTTCTTAATATTAATGGATATTTGGAGCTCTTTCTTGTGAGGTTAAGTCCTGCCCCACCAACAGGGGAAGGTCCCCAAAGCGTGGCACATCATTAAAGTCAATTCTGCTTTGAGAA